ATTCTTCTCTATGCAACAATAAACGTCGAAGGCTCTTGGGTGCATAGACACAACCATCCTTTCTGTCTCCCAGTTCGTTTTGTACCAACTGAGATATAGCCCACGTAGGGAATGGAGTACTTAGTATTTATGTGGTGACTTTCGCCTGAAGAAATTGGAACCTGTGGAGAGTAGAGAGGAAGTGGTTCTCCAAGAGATCTGCTGTGAAATGCTTCTCGGACCACCTGGGGGAGGCACTCTGGGGAGAATGATGCCTCATTCTGTGTGGCGTACATCCAACCTGCTTTTTAGGCTGGGAAAGTGGTAATCAGAACAGAGAAAACCAATGCCACGTCTGCGTCCTTCCCAGTTTCCTCAAAAGGCGATCACAGACTAGAAGATGCCGAGTATGGGAAACTCTCCTGATGCCTGCAGCAGTGTTGGCAAAGAGGCGCCCTCCCCCCCAACCCCCAGCCCGCCTCAGTACACATTTACCCAACGCAGAGGCTGCAGCTCCCCTGTGAGCAGGGACCTTCACATCACTCCTCTGATAGCGAGGAGTCCTGGCTGTAAGACTTGTGTTAGTTCTCCTGTCTGGGAAGAGGGGGAAGGGTAGCCAGGTAACTCTGGGACCCGGAGCTCTGCCTCGCTCCATTCTTCATGCAACAACCCCCGCCACACACACCCCAGTCAAGCCAGACATGCATTCGCTTTTGAAAACACACTAATCAACCAGCCTCCCCCACGGCCTGTCCACCATCCATGGATGTCCATGTATCACACACAGAGCAATTAAAAAAAAAAAATCCAGGCAGCCCAGGGAACCATAATCTTCTTTTGTTTTCTCTTTTCTGTTTTCCCCTAAAAAAGGCCTTTTAAGAAAATATATTAAACCAGGTAAACTTTTACTCATACGTTCATGTGGCTGGAGCAGATTGACAAAGAAAACAATCACAAAATAAATATTTTTGTTTTGTTTTTAAAAAAGAACATTTCCCTATACATTGTCTCTTTCTAACTTGACAGAGCTGCTTTCTTGGACAGGACGGGTGCCGTTGGAAGAGGAGTTCCAGCTGGACCACGAGGGGAATGTGGAACAAAGTAGGGGGGCTGAGGAAGCAAGGGGGCTGGAGGGAGGGAGGAGTGGAGAGCAGAGCAAGCCTGCCTGTCTGCCCTCACGGTCCTCTGTTGGTGTCACCTTGAGTGTCTCAGGGGAGCCGGCTTGAGAAGCTGTCAGTGTCTGGGAGGGCACAGAGGAGGCAGCATACAAAAAGTAAGAACCAACGCTGGGGGGATCACGAAACAACGCCATTTTAAGAAACCTGGTTAAAAAGAATACAAAAGTGACTCGGTGGGGGAGGGGGATCTGCTCCTGTTCCTACCCCCATGCCCCCTCTTGCTTTCTTGAATGATAAGAATCACTTTTTAAGGATTTTGTTTTCACGGTTTGGCTGGTTCTTTTTCTTAATCTCTCCCTTGGCTCCTCTCCTTCAACTGCATGCATTTGAAAGCACCGACTTCACAGATTCGAGGCTGCTGAGTCGTAGCCTCCCTGTGTGAGTGAGAGAGTGTATGTGTATGCGCGCGCGTGTGTGTGCACGCACATGGTGAGCGTGTACACGTGTGCGGTGATGGTCTCTTTCTCTCCTGCCTGCTTTAGTCCACGCCCTGAGGTCCCATCGGCTGGGTGCGGAAAGTCTCAAGGGAGAACCCTGTTGGCACTAAGGTGAGGGCTTGGATGATCTTTGCACCCTGGATTCAGGGATCACCTCCCTGCCCAGCACTGGAGTGGGGCCCCCATTAGCTACACAGTTTGCCTGTCTCATACTCCACAGGGTTTGGCAGCTTGGAATTGAAAGCCCTCAGGGAGGACTGGATCCTGCCCACCTCGTTGTTGGCCAGCTTGAGCCGATGCCGGAGCAAGCAGGAGAAAAGGTCAAGCCGGACTTTGCCCGGGGGAGAGAGCTGGTTTACCCGGTCCCTAAGCTCTATAAGCTGCAAGAGGGCAGAGTCCTGGGAACCTTGAGTGTACGGGTAGTCTAACTGGAGAATTAAGTCCCGGATAGCATCCGGGTCAAAGGGGAGGCTGTAGCCAAAGACCTGCAAGGTGTTGATTTTCATGTAGCCCAAGTTCTTGGAGGGATCGGTCATCTCCAGGGGCTCGTAGTAGATTGTCTCATTGGAGCTGTCATCCAGGGACTTGATTCGGCTCCGTAGGTAAACATGGACTGTCTCAAAGAAGGTCTTCCACCTGTTCCCCAAGGTGATAGTCCAGTTTTGGCACTGGGCAGCTGCGTCCACGTTAGTCCTTTCCCAGTCGGGGAAGCTGCCCTCATTCACGGGCATGAACCAGCTCTCAGAGTGGCTGCCCCCAAACGGGTTGACGTAGATGGCCATGACAGGCTCCAGGGTGCTGTTCTTGGTGAGGCAGATCTGCAGGGACAAGGCCAGCATCACGTGCACCAGCCCAGGCTTGTACTTGTTACTCTTCAGCGTGAGCAGCATGCGCTTCCTCCAGGAAGGGTCAAACCAGCTGCCCAGACGCATGTCGTTGCTGATGAAGATGGAGTGCACCTCGATGCGGCTGTCCCGCTTCTGCAACAGGTACTTCAGCTCCAGGTCCTGCAGGTCTGTCTCCAGCCCCAGAAAGTTCTCCAGGGACTCGGCCACTTCTGGCCGGCACAACCCCTGGGCCAGCACGTAGCCTGGGTTACAGCCCCCACAGCGCGTGCTGTTGTCCGGAGCACAGTGGGCACATGCAGGCCCTTCGCCCAAGGCACAGGGGATGGGGCCCTGGCAGGAAGACTGGTCATAGGGGCAGGTGCAGCTGTGGCTCTGTTCCAGGAAGGTGCCGGGGAAGGTGCTTTCTCCACAGTAGAGGAGGGACTGGATGCGATTCCACCAATAGGGCAAGGACCTTTGGGAAGGGAGGTAAGAATGAATAAAGAGTCACACAGAGACACGCTTTGGCGTCTCTCCTGAGGGTAGGAGGAGACTGACTAATAGGCAGGGAAGGTAATGAGAAAGATAAAAGCCCCGAGTTCTCTGAATGATGGAAACCCTACTGCACCACTCTGGAATGATCGAGTAAGGCCTAGAGCTCAGCGTCTGTCTGATGGATCAGCACCAGAAATACTTGACATCAGACTTGTACTGGCAGCAGCCGGGCTCATCCCTCCCAAGTACCACTTCCTTCGCTTACTCAAAAGCCTACAGAAGATCTCCCACGCCCTCTGTACCAAAACGCCTAACGTAGTTTTCAGCTTTTTAAATAAGACCGTCCGATCCCTAGTTCTCCAAACTTCCCAACTCCCATCCGTTGCTTTCCCACTTACCGTCCCCGTCCTTCCCGTTCCCACTGCTTCTGTCACTCTTTCACCACGAAGAGGAATTTTCTATGGCTGGCTCCCTCTTTAGATTTAGGTTTCCGCTCCTGTGATACCTCCTCAAAGAGGTCTTCTGTGACACCCTTTTTGAAAGAACCACCCAGTCGCTCGCTCTCTATCACATCAGCCTGTTTTTATAGAATCCACAGCAAGGATCAGGATTGGAAATTGTTGTTTATGGTTTCCCTGTTCACAGATGGCTTCTCTGAAGACGCCACAAGAGCAGGAACACTGCATTATTATTTTTTTTTTTTAATTTTTCTTTCCAACGTTTTTATTTTTGGGACAGAGAGAGAGACAGAGCATGAACGGGGGAGGGGCAGAGAGAGAGGGAGACACAGAATCGGAAACAGGCTCCAGGCTCCGAGCCACCAGCCCAGAGCCCGATGCGGGGCTCGAACTCACGGACCGCGAGATCGTGACCTGGCTGAAGTCGGACGCTTAACCGACTGCGCCACCCAGGCGCCCCAGGAACACTGCATTATTCTTCACCGACATGTTCTCAGAAACCAGGGTTGTTCCTGGCGCTTGGTAAGCATTTAATAGTGATTTCTTGAAGGAAAAAAAAAGTAAGCCCCTCTCAAAAGCCTTTGCTAGTCTCGGCTCTCCACTGACGCTTCCCTTCTTACGGGTGCCTCTGTCAGAGCCGCATCTCCGGGTTGCGAGGCAGCCTCCACGCCCTGCGAGGCCCCGTCTCCGTGCATCATTTCTATCTTCTCCCACACAAGCTGGCCGAGACTTCCTTCTCCAAGGTAGCTCTTCTCTCGGGCTTTTGCTTTTACTAGACCCTGCCTCTGATTTATGTTCCACAAATGTGGATTTAAGTGGCTGCCGCATAGGTATCATTTTACAGTTTTTGTGTTTCTATATATTGATTATGTTTTCCCGAGGACCCACACACACACTGCTTAATGTTAGGATACGCAGTGTGCACTTGTTGAATAAACGAGCGTGTGAGTGGGTGTGCGGTGAGGGCCTATGATGATACAGCCTGCCTCTGCTCCTGAGGGCGGGGTTGGGGTGGGGCTCAGCTTTCTTTCCTTTTGTGACTCAGAACTAATCACTTGTTTCAAGCAACCCAGTGTGTGTATATTCTCACTGTATGTAATTGGTGTGTGAGCTTCAACTCCACCCCTCTGTTTCCTGAAAAAAACTTCTTAAAGTAGAAATGAGTGAGAATAGGGCATGACTAGAATAACATTTGAATATACTATACTTTATAAAAAGTAAAATTAGCCTCTCTCTGTTTGCTCTCTCCGATGTCAGACACAAGTCACGAGTAGGCGAAGAGAGCAGAGAATCTAAAAGGCCATCTGGGTCACCGCCGCCAGATCTGCCATGTTGGACAGAGGGCCCCCCGGCCTCAGCAGCCTCAGGGGAAGGGGCCAGGCTTGGGCCCGGGCAGCTGGGGTGCTCACCTCTCCTTGGGCAGGCGGAAGCGAGGCTGCCGGTGGCAGCGCTTGCAGAGGTTGAAGAGCCTGCGGACAATCCGGTGGGTCTTCTTGAACAGCGATTTCAAGCTGGCTCCCAGCTGCTGGTAGCGGTGCTGAAGGCTGGTGTCCATGGCCCAGAACTGGGAGATGGCTGTGGAGTTCAGGAACCTGTCTCCAGGCAGCCTTTTCAGCAGGGCCTGGAATTCCTCTGTGGGCAAGGACGCAGAGCTGAGCTGAGGGGGAGTCACGCAGACTCTGGGACGGCAGGGCGCTCCCCAGACCCAGCCGGCCCTCCGGACACATTGCCTGAGGAAAGAGGCTCCATAGCCATTCTCCCAGGCCCTTGTATATATTTCTTTTTAAACTGCCTTATTTGGAAAATGAATAACATGCCATAAAACAGAGCCTCAGGATTCTTTTCCATCTTTCCTGTCCCTAATATGCTTCTGAATTTCAAAACAGATTTCCGTCATGACCCAAGCAGGCCAGAGGTCACGCTTTTGCCAATGACCTTGGGATGTACCACTTTCTCCCTTCATAACTTCCTGTAAGTCATTCACAACACTGTCACAGGCTTGTATTCTTCAGTAACACCACAACATCCTGTGGAAGGTGGAAGGCAGGCACAGCTGGCAAATGTGGACCCAGGGAGACTGAGCACCCAGCTCAGAAAGCTTCTTAGAAAATTTCCAGTCCCTGAGACCAGCTGCTCCTGTCCACATCCTTCTCTCTGACTCTGGAATACCCTTTGTCTCTTTCAAGCTTCACCTCTAGGCCAGACACCCATTCTTTCCTGTAGCTAATCCAGAAGCAAGATGCTTTCTGGTCCTTGCTGCCTACTCCAAGTCTGTGCTCTTCCCAGAGCTTCCTGGTCACAACACATTGGCTGAATTTATGCCCAGATCTGCTTTTACTTGGGACCTGCGGCCACTGTCTCTTGATGGGGGCCCAGATAGCCCTCATTTACTCAGCAGTAAGTAACTCAACAGTGGTGAGCGCCCAAAGTCATGCCCCACATTAAGCATCATTGAACACATCCCACCATCACAACTCCTGTGCAGCTGGTGTTGGGGGGACTGGAATGTTCTCCTTAGCAACTAACTACCTGTCTAGGACTTGAAATGTCAATGCCTGGGGCCTCAGCTTGGTTCTTCATACCCCTCTTCCCCTTCCCATTGGTTGGAGAATCATACCTAGTGATGGCATTAACAACTAGCATGTACGTAGATTTTTTTATAAAACATGTAAGCTTACAAAAGAGCACAGGGAGTAACAGAATAAACTCCCATGTGCCCACCAACTAGATTTAGCCACTTTGCCACATTGACTTCAGTCTTTTGTTTTGTTTTAGAGAAATTCTGCAAAGAAAATATACAGTCGAAGGCCCTAAACTTCCCTTCTATCTCCCATCTTGATGTAACCACTCTCTTGGGTGTTTTCTTTATCATTATATTTCTTAATGTTTTCTGCATATGTTTATCTGTAAAAACATTAAGTATTGGCCAGTATGTTTTTAAGCATCATATAAATAGTATTAAATATGTGTTATACTTAATAATATTGTATCATAGTATTATTCACATGATATGTATATGTAACATTTTTCATTTTCACTTTGTTTAACCCAACATGTTTCTGAGCTATATCTATCCACATAACTATCACTCATTTAGTGTTGAAATGTATGAGTGTATCAGGTAGAGATAGTTATACATTAATTTTATCTACATTATCCCATATGAGCCTTCCATCCACCTATTATTATCACTTTCCCTCTCTTACAGATGAGGAATGGAGGTATTCTGAAGCTGCATGGCTCACATAAGGTCACAAAGCTGGTCAGTAACAGAGTGTCTCAGTCTTTGGGGGCTGCTCTCAGAAAATACCACAGACCGAGTGGCTTATAAACAACAGAAGTTTACTGCTCACGGTTCAAGAAGCTGGAAGTCCAAGATCAGAATGCCACCACGGTCAGGTTCTGGGGAAGGCCCTCTCTGGGTCGAGTGTGGCTCACTTCTCACTGTGTCTTCACATGGCCGAAGGTGAGAAGGATCTCTCTGGGGCCTCCGTTATAAGAGCACTAATCCCTAATCACCTCCCAAAGGCCCCCACCTCCCTGGGCATTATATTTTCAACGTATGAATTTGGGGGGGGGGGGGGCAGGACACAAACATTCAAACCAGAACCCAGAACACGGATTCAAAACCAAGCCCTAAATCTGCATCTCAAGGTAACCTTGCTATTAGCTATACGTGTAACAAGCAAGGACTAGTATGTGCTGGGTGCCTCCTAGAACTATTCTACGTACTTCATTCATCCAGCAAACATTCCTTGTGCACCTGTGCGCAGGCAATCTGTAGCAAACGTGTATCAGACAAACCAGGCAAGTCCTAACGCCCTCAGATATATCCACATTAGCTCATTAAGTCCTCGTGACGCATGTCTTTGGTAGGGATCACGTCCATTTGCACAGATAACAAGAAGACAACCACCTGAGACGTGAGGTTGTGAGATAACCTGGTAGGGGCCAAGGACACAGGTAAGCGGATGAGGCGGGATCCAAGGTAAGTTCCCCACCTTCTAGTCCCGCACCTCAGAGCATGTCCCATTGACAGGGAAGTGTGGGCCCGTCAACTGCTCACCTGACTCCTCAAACTGCCGGTTGTGAGTCACCCAAGAGTCCTGGATCTGCACCAGGCTGTCCTCCATGGCCTGGATGTCAGCATCCGGACAGTTGCATTCTGGGAAGGTGGGGCTGCACTTGCACCAACAGTCATTCTCCTTGCAGACGAGCTCCCCCTCAGAGCTGCATGTGATATAGCTGAGTGCCGCCGCCACAAAGCGCTCACGCAGGTACTCGGGCAGCAGCACCTGTAGGCCTAGGGAAAGGACGCATCAGGGAATTGTGGGGCAAGGACCAGTGGGGACCTGGTTTCCCACACCTAAGGCTGCAGGATCGCCAGCTGGGGTTCTGCTGACTTGGGCATTCTGGGCCCAAGAACGGTCACCCCAGGGCCTAACTCTATGGAGCTGATGGGATGAGGGGCTTACCGCTGCCCCAGTGATGGGTGGGAGAGGGTCTGAAAATGCAGATGAGGAGCATCGAAGCCCAAGGCTTCGGAGAACCCCTCACATCAGCCAAATTGAGAGCGTGCGTATCATACGAATGGCCTCATTGGCTGCACATCGGCATCTCTAGGATGGAAATGGGAAGATATTTCAGATAAAAGAAGACCTTACAATCTCATGAAGGAGGAATCAAGGCTTGATGGGCTTTTTGCTCTGCTTCAGCTAGCCATCCTGTTTCTGGCTTGGCTAAGTCACAGATGTTCTGGGATGTCCCACCCCACCCTTGACGACCAAGGAGACTGCTCTGGTCAGGAGGCAGGGACAGGCGTTGTTGGTACGCAGTGGCCAGGCACCACACCAGGTGCTTCCCAGATAGGATCGCATGTGACTCCCTGGGCACACTGAGAATCCAGGGCCGATGGCCACAGTGACCTGCCCACGTCGCAGGACTAGTAAAGTTGGCTTGGTGTCGCACTCTGCCGTGGTACCATCAGCTTGTACTGCACGCCTGGGACCGGCTGCCCTGCCTCAGTGTGCTTAACTCTCACCGAGATTTGGAAGTTCAGTCAAGCCTGGGTAGGTGGGAATGGTTCTCTGCTCTCCCTGCTAATTAGCTCCCCTGATCTTGGGATATAATCCACTAAATTTCTCTAGGCTTCAGTCTTCCTATCCATCTGTGGTGGGGGGTTTTAGTTTACCAGGAGCAGAATACACCCCTCTTTGGCTTCAAGCCACACACGGTGGCTGTCGGAAGCACATCAAGGGATGAGTGAAGGACACGCATGCCTTTGGATACCGCCTGGGCCAGGTTCGAGGGCAGACCTGCAAGAGGCTGCCCCAGTAGGGACATCGCGAGAGACGGTGCCAGGAGAGTGGGGGACGTGAGAACTTCGGATACGCTGAGCTCCCCTTTCCTCAAATACCTGCCAGCTCTTTATCGTCACACCCTTGACTGTGTCCTTGGCAGGAAATCAGAGAGCCCAAAGTATGCATCCTGGTCTCTGTGGACCTGAAAACATAACTTAGCACGGCAGCACCAGCAGAAGTCCTGTTTGAGATCCACCTTGTATCTGAACTGCTCCTCAAGTTTCCTCTCTTGATGCTGTGCTTGCAGTGGCACTGGAGCGGCCCTCCCCACATATCCGGTCCACATGTTGCCTTTCCACACACACCCATCCAAGTCCTTTCTCTTCACCTCCCCCACTACCTCCCTCCTCCTCACCATAACACTTCCCATTGCTATAAAATAAGTGCCCCGAGCAGTGTCTGCATGAGTGATGGGCTATAAAATTAAATGGCATAAACTATTCCAAATGAACCACCAGACATTCCGAACTTCACTCATCGCTAATTTCCAGACACAAACCCAGCCCATCTAAGGACAGAGGAGAAGAGGGATGCTAATTGCATTAGGTGGCTCTAAATAAAGCAGTCTTTTACTCCTTTTTATTATATATTCCTTGATTCCAAAAGAACTGATGGGTTGCATCTGGCTCAGGTTGCCTGGAATTTGTAATCGTAGATCCTGGGTGAGGGCTATTGATTTTATAATACCAAGACAATAATATCTTAAACAGAGTCCAATTCAGTTAGGCCTCAAGAAAAAGGAACTTTTCCGACTGCCAAACAGCCCTGTCTGAATCCGTTTGCATTGCCCTGCCCCCAGGATGCCTGCGGGGCAGACAGCAGGAACTAAGCACCTCCCCTACCTCCCCTTACCTGTCCTATCGCCTTCCAGTTGGCAAGTGTGTTTTAGCTAGTTCTGTCTCCAGCGGAGGCTCCCATTCGTCTCAGACTGGTCTCCTGGCCTTGATCCCCCGTGGAGGATTACAGACCAATCACAGAAAGTAGGGACCACTCTCAGGGTAGCCAATAGTCCCATGGTTTGTAAAGCTCTACGGTGGCCCCATAACCATCTGCAAAGACTAACCATACCCCAATGTGTCCTTAGGACAAAGCCGAGGGTTCTTTGGGCAACAAAGGTGATCATCAAACTAGACCAAAGTGTATAAGGGTGAATGTGATACTCATGCAGGATAGTGACTGGGGGTTGGGGAGGACTATGAATGCCGAGGGTTTGGGTGTTGAGTGGTGCTAACAATGGTCTTGGATGCAGGGTAAACCATTTCAGAAGTTTTCTCAAAAGAATGAGGGAAAGTTGTTAAATACACGTCCCAGAAGTCCTGGTAGCTCTTGTCTTAAATATGGTTTAGCCAGGGGTCCCCGGGTGGCTCGGTTGGTTAAGCGTCCGCCTTCAGCTCAGGTCATGATCTCATGGTTCATGAGTTTGAGCCCCGTGCCAGGCTCTGTGCTGACAGCTCGGAGCCTGGAGCCTGCTTCAGATTCTGTGTCTCCCTCTCTCTCTCTGCCCCTCCCCTGCTTGCTCACACTGCACCTCTCTCTCTCTGTCTCTCTCAAATAAACATTAAAAAAAGAGAGTGAGAGAAGGGTTTAGCCAAATGAGGCACAGAGGGCTTTTTCCTGCTCCTTGGTGGTCTGAGTTTTTCACCCAGTGTGACACCCGTCACGGTACAGCTTACCCAGTAACTGCACTTTGTTCTCCGGACTCTGTACCAGGACAGAGCTGACTGAGTCCAGATTGTCGTAGTTGCTGCAGCCCAGAGGGCCCGTCCTGGTTTCCGTGACCTAGAGAAGGAGGGCACAGTGTGGATTTAGAGACCATCCCTACGGGGAGACCATCCCTATGCGCTTCCCTCTCCGGCCATCTGATCTCAGGCTCTGTGTCCTGTCCTTGACCAGCCGGAGGATGGCATGTGTTTCCCTACCCCGGGAGCAGAAAGCCACTTTTCTTCCCTGTTCTAACAGACTCTCAGCGGCAGAGGGCTGGCAGCGGCAGGTGCACACAGTGGGAGGCTTTCAGAGGGGGCCGAAGGGAATTTGCGTCCGGGAAGAGAAGATTCAACGTAGGCTGAGGAAGCTGGACCTCTGAGCTGGAGTCCCCCCCTCTCCCTCCCCCAGAGGGAGACAGGAGGCCAGATGTGGAGGCTGTCAGCCGGCTGGCGAGCCCAGCTGCATCCACTCGGCGTGGTGCTCACAGGCTTTAGGGATCCCGAAGATGAAAAGCACTAGAGAAATATGAGTTATGAGTATTATTATTAGTATTAAACATTTAAGTCCCACCTCGGCGCTGAGACGTCCTTAGAGAAAATCAGCCATGGGCTTACTGCATATTTTAATAAGTATATTAAATATACATAAACTCTTATAGCCATGTAATATTCCAAAACACCACAGAATCATTTAAAAATATTATAAAGTTGGCCTATCAGTTTTTCCCTGATGTTTTTAAAGTATAAGATGAAAAATGGGGAGCTTTAAATGCACTGAAATAATTCCATAATAAGAATGATGGGGACCTGCAGCCCTTTCTTCTCAGGATCTGCGAAAGCTCTGCCAACAATCAATCAACCAATCAACGAGTATTTATTGAGCAGCCACTGTTGAATTCCATACAATTCATCAAACATTCACAGGACGCCTTTCCTGGAGTTCTTCAAGGAGTCGGCCCTGATACCCCTGACCTTCTGTCCTGGCTCCAGATACCTCTGCCCTGCAGCAGGCACACGCGTTGCAGTTTTCCATCCTTTACTGAGAACGTGGGGCGAAAGTCTGGGTCCTCCACACACCAAACGCTCCACAGGGGTAAGCCCATGTTTATTTTGTTCACCATGTAGACAGCCGTAATGAACACAGTGCCTGGCACACCGGGTATTTAATACATTAGAGAATGTGTAATACGTTCCAGGCTTTGGGGGGTGAGAAATGAGCACAGAAATGCACAAGTTATATGCTGTGTCCTCTAGGGAACTACAACCTGTGGGGAAGGCAGGTGCATATGCAACGGGCCGAGATGCATCCAAGTGGAGCGGAAGCTATGTGTCAGTGAGCGCTGAGGAAAACACAGCTCTAAACAAAGGGAACATGAGGGAAGAAGGGCAGAGGAGACTCAACTGAGCTGGTCCTTAAAGATAAGTAGAAGTCTTGTTGAATCACTATATCGTACACCTGGAACTAACATGATACTGTATGTTAGCTATACTGAAATTAATATAAAATAAAATTAATAGTAATAAAGATAAGTACAAGTGGACAGCGAAAGAAGGGAAGACAGGCACTCTGAGAGAAAGGGGAAGGGGCACTGCGGGGGCTCAAAAGTATAGTGTACGTGACTAGTGCCCCACAAGCTACAAGGTGAAGTAACCAGGTGAAGAGCAGAGTGTAAATGAAATTTTCAAAGAGAGTTTAGTCTATTTAGTTTTAAAAAATACTCATGGAAGAGAGTAATTCAATGAGAGATGATTTGATACTGACTGGAAATACAGTAGGGAGACAGGAGAAACCCTTGTGATGTAAAGTAGTCTGACTAGGCTTCATGGAAGAGGTGAGCCATGAAGGATGAATGGGGATGGATGGGAAGGCACAGAGATTTAGGAGAAAAAGGGGTAATTACAGACAAAGAAGAAGGGGCGGCCTTAGACACGGTGCATGAAGAGCAGAAAAACCCAGCCTGAATAAAGAATGGGACCGAGCCCATGACATGGGCAGGAACAACCTCTCTACAGCTGCCAAGTTCATCCTCCAGGATCATCCCATTTAACCCTTACAGAAACTCTGAAACAAGTCACACTACTAGCACTCTCCAAAATAGGAAAGCAAGGTTCCAAGAGTTACGGTGTGCCAGGCCACAGAGCTATGCGCAGCTGGAACGGGATCTTATCGTTTGAATCCTAGCACCCAGTCAGTGTCCCTCCTGTCTCCTCTGAGGGCACATCAGAGGGCTTCAGGAAAATAAAGTGAGTTAAAGCCCTTTGGATGACATCACTTTTAAAAACAAGTGTAAACAGCACAGTTCATCCAAAATAGCTTAGTGATCTGCCCTCTGTTGAGAATGTGAACACAGGGCAAAACAAATTGTATAGACTTGAGATCACAGTATCCTAATATTACAGATGGGAAGACCTTGGCCAGATGAGTTAAATGATTTATTCAAGGCCATATGGCTAGTTGCCTACAGGACTAGGATTCATTCAGCTCATTCATATACTCTTTCATTCATTCATTTATTCATTTAACAAATATGCAAGGAGCATCCAGAACTCACACTGAGTGAGTGAGGCACAGTCACTTCCATAAGGAGTTTCCAGACAAGTAGAAACATGTTTCTCTAATCCCAGTGTTGGGGCTGTTACACATGCACTTGCCTCCCTCCACAGGTGGGCACCAGGTGCTGAATAATGTCTCTGTATAGAGTGAGTGGGTGATTGGCTAGCTGTCAAACTACAGCGGGGAGGCAGAGCCAGGCTTCTTTCAAGGTAAGGTCTTCTTTATCTCTATGGTGTGTTAAAGTCCCTGTAAGAGGAGCCCTGGCCGAGGACTAGCCCGGGTCTTCTGGAATGTGATGGACTGAATGGCAGGGTGGGATGATGGGTGAGATGGCGGGTGGGTCTGGTCTTTGGACACTTGCCTGTCCCCGCCTCCATCTAAGCTGTTCACACTGTCATTGAGTTTTGCACTGGCTTTTCCATCCACCCACCCCTGAGCTGGTCGCTCACCAGCATCAAGTCCAGGTAGGGAGGGAGCTACATGCCTTATGTAGGAGTAGGATGACCCCTCAAGGAGGATAACAGAGAACAGCCACTCTCCTCTCCTTTATCTCGGCACAATCCCTACCTACGTACTGCCAGCCCATCTGCTTCCCCACCACCACCGCCATCTTGTGCAGTATTCCGGGCCTGGCTCTGATGTGGTTTTTTGACCTTTACTTGGCTACTCCCAAAGGTTAGTTCCACAAGCGGACAATCAAATCGATAAAGGCATTGAAAGGATGTGGGTAGCTTCCCTTTGTTAATTGCGCCATGAGAACTGGCATGAAGAAGAGACAAAGGCTGTGATCCTCAAGCTCATTTCCTTATAAGGAGGCACACCAGATCTCCAAGAGTGAGGAAGGCACTCAGATTACGTTAGATCCCAACGTCCTTGCTCCTTCCACTGCTATTCTGCTTTGAACCACCTCTGTCCTCCCTAGAGATATAAGGAGATGGGAAGAAGGAAGGGAGCTGGAGCGGGTCCTCTTGCAGATATTGCCTGGGCACTGACTTGGTAACAGGATGCCCGAAGGCCCCTTCCCCCAAGTGATGAAAATACCAGGGTCTCTGGAGGGTTAGTCCAGAGAACCCTGGGCTTTCTCTGTAGCAGAGGCAGACAGCTTTGGCAGATTATAGAAAAGGCCCATAGAGGTAATGGAAAGTGCAGTTCACTCAGGCACACACATTCAAAGAGCATCTCAGATAAGCTTTCAGAAAGGGAAAATAATTGTGTGCTAATTGGTCTGTTGACAGAGACTGTCCTGCCTTCAGAAAGCCCTGATGGATCTCAGGTTCATTAGCACATCCAATTTTCCATAAATACTAGGTCGTGCGAACACTCACTCCAGTGAGTCTGCTCTCCTCCCCCTGCCCTTTGCCTCCCCCGCTGCTCTTGTCCTACCTAGGGGGACACCTGCAAAGCTAAAAGGGACAGAAATGGGCTTCTAATTGTGAGCGATAGGGCTGGGCAGGGCGAACACAGCTGATGGTGTGTGTGCTTAAGAGGACTGCAAATTGAATCCCAGGCTGTGCGCTGAGGAATTCAGACAAGTCTTTTTAAGGATGCTTTGTGAGAACCACTCCATTTTGCCATCCTGGGACCCATCTATCTGAACTTTTGTGTGGGCTCTTTTCAGTAAGCTCTGGAACATATCAAACCAAGTCCTTCCCCACACTTCGATTAAGTAGAGGGTGAGCTGCCAATGAGAACAGGGTCCTCTGCTTAATGGCTCTGATCCCTTCCTAGGCATCACGGACAGGAGGTACAGTGTATATATTCAGCCCTTTATAGTTTGCCAAGTGTTTCCATGTGAACTGTGTCATTGGGTGTCACCCCAACCCCATGGCAGAGACAGGGGTGGGATTCACAATATTAATCAGCAGGTAAGACAGGAGTGGGTGGGCTAATCAGAAGACATGCCAGGAGTGGTACCAGCAGCATTCTGGAGACCTCCCGAGGTCCATTCACCCCTTGGTTACCATCAACGGGAAACCTGGGGGCTCCAAGGGAGAGAGAACAGTGGTTACGATGACACCCAGGTGATTGGGTGCAGACTGTTTACCAGCTGATATGGAAGTGGTTTAATATTCTAATAGCTGGTGTAGCCCTGTCAGCTGAAGCTAAGCCCTGGGTACAGGTGAGTCAAATAGCTGGTAACTCACTGATGTTGGGAAGTCAAGTGGTGAGCATCAAGACTGAAACTTGATCCCAAGCTTTCTCCCTTGAGCAAGTTTGTTTCCCACTAAACCAGGCAGCCAGCTTTCACCTACCAAGCATTCTATTTAGTGCCTCACTGCGTGCCAGCCACGGCGAAGAAATGGTGTGCAAGCTACGGAGTCCCAACTGCTCCAAGCCCTCCTACCACGCCTGTGGGTGTGGGGACGTGGCAGTGGGGATGCACACAGCTGGAATATAATATGACAAATCCTGTAAGAGAGGTGTGCACTGAGCAGAGTAAACCTTGCAACAGAGTGAGATGTTCAGTAGGGTCTCAGAGGAATGTGTCAGATAAAAGGGGCATGTTAGTAAACTAGAGGTGGCTAACAAGGGGGGAAAAGTAAGAATACACCTGCTTACAGACATAAGAGACAGGCAGAGAGGCTGGAGGGTTTTCCCTTCCCCAAGGCTGAGCAGGTGAGCAGAACCCCTCATGCCACCCACCTCGATGCAGAGTAATGGCCTTGGTGGAAGCCAGCTCTACTCCTGCAAAGGCATGTTCAGTAGAGGGAAGCAGGTGGCAGGGGCTACAGCCCCAGTAAAGGAGTATCAGCTAGCAGGGATACGCTGCGGGATGCATCCAGCCTACTGGCCCTTGCTATGTGGATCTGTAAAAGCGTGATCAAGCAAAGGAATGGTCTCTGGTGGAACATTTGACAGTAGGATAAAATGGGCAGGTCAAACCTATCAGGTGAGCATGGTGGTGGGATAGGGAGCCGAGACCTCCCGTTGCTCCTCAGTCTAGCAGGGTGTTCTTGGACAGGTCATGTGGTTCTCTAGAGCTAAGTTATGTGAGCATGAGGATGAGGAGGAGTGGAGGTAGGAGAAAATAATCCTGTTTTCTCATGTTTTTCTGAATTGCATCCCATGGAAGGAGTACATTGCACCCCTCAACAGAGAAAACTTCAGGTTAATCAGCTCAGTGGAAGATGAATTATCATCCCACATTCCATGTGTGATTGGAGGAGTTCCAAAAAGAACCTTCCAAGGATGGCGGCCCCACTTCTGGGGAGATGGGCAGTGGCTCTAGTTCTGGAAAGTGCATCCCCAGGCACTACGATAGATGTGGCTTTGGGTACCTTCCTGCCTCTCACTGTGCCACCTGCAGACTTTGCCAAAGAGATGAGTCCGGTAAGCCATATTTCAGACTATGTGTTGAACTCTTTATAGTGGACTAAAGTGAACTCTGAACAAAACTTCCCTCCAGAGAAGTCAGAACTGTGACACTGAGAGAAACAATTTAAAGGGTGATGGTGGACACCCTTAAAATTCAGAATAAATAATCATCAAGCATTACTAAGTGCCAGGAACTGAGAATACAGCAGTGAACAAGAGTGGTTCCTGCCCCAATGGCACCAGCTGAGAGATAAAACAGAAAAATAGTATTCAGTCCGGGCCAGAGTCAGAGTCAGCTCCAGAGCAAGGCAGAGCTAAATGTAAGCTGAAGTCACTGGCGTACAGAAAGGTCTAGAAAAAAAACAAAGGAAAGAACTTGGAAAAGAAGCTAGAAGGTGAAGCAGATGAAAAAAAAAGATGGCATGTGTTCCAACAAGAAATGAGGTAACCTGGGAGCCTTACTGCCCTTTTATAAGACCCATGTGTCTGGACATTTAGTGTCTTGTCCTTGGAGACATGTGATAGTCTTCACCGTAGTCCTCTTTATAAACCATGTTTACGCTCAAGTGACTTGGAGTAGCTTTGTTTTCTTTCAACTAAACATGTTTATATGCCCTTGTACACACACTGAAAAGAGCATAACCTATGTGGAAAACAGTGACTCATTCATTTATTCTGTCAGTCTACAAACCTTTACTCATTACCCATAATGGAATATGCTCTGTACTTCTACTGGGAACCAAAGATGAATAAGAACCAGTCCCTCCCTCAAGGACTTCATGTTAGCTAGCAAATATAGTTCAAATGATAAGCCCTATAAAAGAGGCATGTGCTTGATACACCAAAGAGAGCATTTAACTACATTGGGAGTCAGAAAAGGCTTCCCCAAAGAGTAACCTTTTTGACTTGAGCAAAGAAGAGTGAGGGAGAGACACTTACGTAAACAGACAAGCAAAGCAAACAGCAGGGGCTTTGAATAAAGACTAATAGTTAGTGGGATGCCTGGGCCGCTCAGTTGGTTGAGAGTCCAACTCTTGATTTTGAACTGTGATCTCACAGTTCGTGGGGTCAAGCCCCACATCTGGCTCTGCACTGACAGTGTGGAACCTGCTTGGGTTCTTTTCTCTCTCTCTCTTCTTTTTCTCTGCCCATCTTCCATTCATTCTCTCCCCCTGCCCCCCAGCCTTCTCTCACTCAAAATAATAAAATTTTTTTAAACAGACTAACAGGACGGGCCTACATGATAGAAATTGTAAGTGAAGGGTTGATGGGGGAAACGGGTTGAGAAGAGACAAAAGAGACCATTAGGGATAATCTTCAATGGCTTTATGGTTTTGTTAAGATGAGGAATTATTCTTTTTCAAGCTCCATTTGTGCTGTGGCTCATGCACTCTCTCTGTTTTTTTTTTTTTTCAACGTTTATTTATTTTTGGGACAGAGAGAGACAGAGCATGAACGGGCAAGGGGCAGAGAGAGAGGGAGACACAGAATCGGAAACAGGCTCCAGGCTCTGAGCCATCAGCCCAGAGCCCGACGCGGGGCTCGAACTCACGGACCGTGAGATCGTGACCTGGTTGAAGTCGGACGTTTAACCGACTGCGCCACCCAGGCACCCCTGTTTTTTTATTTGATCCTTACAGAAATCCTTCAAGGTAAAAAATATTTTAATTATTGAACAGTTTTAAGGATAAGAAAAGTGAGGTTCAGAGTAGTTTGGTAACTTGCTTGCAGCCCACATGAGCAGTGGCACAGCAAAGACTTTTGGGTTCAACCCTATGTTCTCTCCATTGTCACACAGCCACCGTGGCTGGGGCGCAGTGGTTTAAACGGGGTGGGGGGGGATGGTACATGATGCTTTGCACTCATGCAGGCAGCAGAGAGGGCGGATAAGAGAGAAGAGCTGAGAATGGAGACGGGAAGACTAGTTAAAAAGATAATGCAAGGAAACTGGGCAAGAGTTGATGAGGTCCTGAATTAAGGGGATGGCATGGACATGAGAAGGCAGTGAGGGGCAAGTTGCAGATATATCCAATGCCGTGATTATAGTGGTGGACCATGGAGTCTAAGTTAGGCAAAGAGTGAGGCAAACGAGGCCATGAAGGGGGGAAGAAAGTGAAAAGCTGGTCAGGTCAAAGGACAGGAAGGCACATTAATGGGACCTTTGAGTTGTTGACCCAGACCTACCTTTTATTTCCAGATAAGACCAATTCTTCTCCCACTTTGACACAGCCGACTCACTACAGGACTGAAGGGGGAAAGGGGCTTCCCCAGAGTTCTGTCTTCTTGGTAAAACCCACTCCATGTTACTAATAGTCTTCTTTCATCATTTTAAGCTGCCTCAGAGACCAGAATCCCAAAGGTACCCTAAATCCCTGTTAACTTCAGCCACTGTCCTGTCTCAGGCTCTCACTCCAGACACTGCACCTCTCTTAATCTGACCTCTTCAGGTAACTTCCATCGTGCTCTCTCGGTCTCATGATCAGTCTTCAGCAAGGTCCTCCATAATCCTGATCTCCTCTCAAGAGTCTGCTTCATCTTTTTGCATGAAGCACAGTCCAGAAGATGCTGAAAACAGGGGTTCCCTTGCAGTCTTGCCTAGCAGTGGCTGGCTGTGTTCCCACACCTCACATTGCTGGGCAGAGGAGTGAGGTGCGATGCAGCTATCCTGAACACTGCTCCCCCTCCTCTCTAGCCATCTCTGGCTCCTCTGAAGCCAGAACCATCAGGACTTTATCACCCATGACCCCTCCTTGTTGCTGTCTATTTCTCTTCTTAGTCCCATTCAGTTGTTAAGGATTTCCAGTATTAAGCTTGCTTACCACTGTCTTTGTTATCACCAAAAGGTTTGTATCTTTCCTGTTGACCTCAGCATCCATGTAGAAAACCCTTTAATACCCTGGCCTCCCAGGTCCCTAGCCTTCTCCCCTCTCCGTTCATCTTGTCCTCCAGCCCCGTTGTAGCCACCCACACTCATGGCCACGTTCAGAACCTGATTTGTTTTGCTAATTGCACTTTCTCTCCAATCTCAACATAAATCATCACACACTTGCACTTCCCCTGGTCACTTCCCTCTAACAAGTATCAAACCTACTTAGACTTCCAATCTTTTGACCTAACCAACTTTTCACTTCCTGCCGCCCCTTAACAGTCCCAAATCCCTTGGTCCATCACTATAATCACTGCTTTGTGTATATTCTCAACTCCCGTTTTGTTTCATCTTCATGTACACACACGTGCACACACACACACACACACACATTTCTGTTCAATCAACTCTCCACCTCCTCCATGCCTGCCTATACTTGAAGTGCCAAGTGTAGCTGATAAAACTCACAGCTATGCTGACTGTTCCCATGTAATTACGACCATGGGTCTCAAATGGGCTCTCCGTGCTGCCCAACAACCCACAACATTTATCTAGTCCATTAAAATACCTAACTCCTATTCTTCTGAAACCATCCCCTGCATTCTTCTCTCAGTAATCCCTTCTCCTTCCTTTTAGGCAAGGACTCTGCTTCTTGTGTAATCAAGGAAATAGGATCAATCAGAAGGGGACATCCGCATCCCGACGCCCAACGTCTACATCCTACTACATGTGTCCTGCGCATTTGAATGCCTCCTGCTACAAAGGATGAGATGTTTATGCTCCTGTGTAAGAACCACCCCTCCCGCCTGCCCAGTTGCTCTTGCAGTTGTCTCCTATCACTTCTGAATCATTTTCTCCCCCTCTCCTGAATCATTTCAATCAACATGCCAAGATTCTTGAGTATCTCTCATCTTAAAAACAAAAATTCCACCTCTCTTGACCTTATACCACTCTCCAGCTATCACCCATTTTTTGTTTGCTTTTACAGCAAAACCCTTAAAGAATTGTCTCTACTCCTCTGGTTCCTCGCTTTGTTTTCTCTCTTGAACCTTCTGCACTCAGCCTTTTGTACCTGTCATGACACTGAAACCACTCTTATCTAGGTTGCTAGTTACCTCCATGTTGCCAGATTGAAGGTCCATTCTCTATCTGACTGTTTAACAGCATCTAACGCAGTTGTCTGCTCCTTCTTCTATGAAACACTTGCTTCATATCGTCTTGTGATATGGCTTTGATTCTCTTCATACCTTTCTGTCTGGTGTCAGCCTTCTCTGTTGGATCCTTCTCCTAGTCCCCATTTCTGAATATTGATGTGCTGCACAACTCAGCCTTAGGGCTGGGCAGCCTTAGGGCTGCTCTACCAGCTACATTCACTCCTCAAGTGATCTCATCTCATCCTTTCTCATGATATTAAATACCACCTACATGTGTGTATATATTTGTATGCCAAAATTACATCTTCAGTCATGACCTTTCTCTCTGAAGCCTAGTGTTTATATTCAACTGCCTGTTAGATACCTCTACTTGGATGTCTAATAGGAATGTCAAATTCACTGTGTCTAAAACCAAGCTCTTGATTTGCTTCTTTCAGATTGGCATCTCCCCCACTGTTGTCCTTCTCAGTAAATGCAATCACTGTTCATCTTGCTGCTCATGCCAAAAATCTTGCAGTTAATCTTGAGTCCTTTCTTCTAATTTATTAGCTAGGCGTGTAGGCTCTACCATCAAAATATATCTTGGCATCTGCCAAATTTTCACTACCTCTATACAGCCAGCTTTGTCTGAGCGAGCCACCATTATTTCTTCCCTTGACCATTGCAATAGTCACTGCATCAGTCTCCAGGATCCCTCTTTCTCCTCTCTTCCCTGATCAGTAATGCCCTCATGATCTTCACATCCTTTATTGATCTCCATCTCAGGCAATCTACCGTCAGGGGGAGATAAAATTTTCTCTGCAGCCTCATCTCCTACTTCACCCCTCTTGTAATGGCACTCCTGCTACATTATGCAGTGTTTCTGGATCGTAACATGCACACTCCTGCTTCAGGGCAATTGCACCTGCTCTCACTCCCATGTGGCTTGCTCCCTCCCTTCATTCAGGTGTCTGCTTAAATGGCATTTTTTCACACAGGTCTTCCCTAAAGTGTGGTGTCCCTATCCCTCTCCATCCTCTTGCCTGGCTCCACTTCTTCATACCATTAATCCCACCTGACATTATATTACATCTCCATCACTAGAATTTAAGCTTCATGAGGGCAGGGACTTTATATGTATACTTCACTCTGGGATTCTCAGTACCTAGAGCAGTACCTGACATGTAATAGGTGTTCAGTAAATATCTACTGAACCAATAAACAAATGAACAAAACTATCTAAATTCTGGGTGAGATAAAAGCAGAATATAAGATAAGACTGACCATTACTTGCCATCTTAAATTTACATTTAGAATAAAATAATCCAGCATTCTCAAGTATCGTCATTGGTCTTCTCTTCCCTATTACAATATGAGTTTTCCTAGAATTCTCCTAGATATAAGTAGAGAAGATAGGATGGAGGTTATGATTATTAATGTGATAGTAACTACCGGATCATTTTCCAACATGCATGGCATCAGATCACTCTTCTGTTTAAAACTCTCTGGGTGTTTTCCATTGCACTTTGACATATTAAAATTCCTTTTCATGGCCACGTAATCTGATTCCAGTCTACTTCTGAACGTCATATTGTACCAGTGTCTTCTTGTTCACCTTACTATAGTCACAACAGTCTTCTCTGTGTTCCAAGGCACCAAGCCGGTTGCTGCCTCAGGGCCTTAGCACTTACTGTTCTTGCTGTCTGAATACTCTTCCCTGAGGTCATTCAGACTCAGCCTCAAAGTTTAAACCCAAAGTTCCCTCCCCAGACCAATCTGGCTAATATTAGCTGCTCATTTCCCACCCCAGGAAATCCATACCTTATGACCCTGTCTTTTCTTTCTATCTTTATCTAAAATTACTTTGCTTTTACCTGTGTAAAATTCCCATCCCTCACTAGAACGTAACAGGTGCAGAATAAGGACCTTGTCTGCCTTTCTACCAACAGTTCGTTGGCTGGAGACTGCCTCCCAGTAGAAGCTACATGACTATCTGCTGTGCAAGTGAAGACCTGAGCCACCTTTTAGGGACGGTTGTGCCTCGTCTCAGAAAGCTTCTTCCCCACGTCCATCAGTCGGGTCTGACTGATTTGGAGCTGGCTAAGACCCTAGCCTCCCCCTTGCTTTCTCTCTGCTGTCTGCCCTCCCTCTCCCAGTACTCCACAGGCTGTTACCTTGATGGCCCCCGTGGCTATCTGGATATGGTGCAGCCGCCTCAGAGTGCTCTCTCTGTCGATGAAGTAGGAGGCTGCCAGCTGGTGCAAAGTCTCCAGGGACACGGCAGAGCTGTTCCCACTGCCCCCAACTACAGGTGCACTTCCTGCTGTCTCTGTCTTGCGGCTCAGTTTCCGCTTGTCCACAAAAATGGTTAGGGACTCTTCTCCTAAAGCAAACAACATGGGTCCATTGGTGAGGCCTTCTGAATCCCCTGCCAATTAGAACATGAAACCCTTGGCCAGAACAGTCAGAGCTCAGAGGGAGCCCATTGCCCCTGCTGACGACCTGTTCCTCATCACTGTCTTTAGAACAGTCTCATCACACAGTGCCCAAGGTGACCGGCACCACTGCCTGAGAGGCCCTCCTCCTTTTCCTTCATTCTTTAACTATCCCATAGCTCATCCCCTCCCCTCCAGCTTATCCATTTAACATCCTTTATTGATCTCAGTCTCAGGCAATCTACCTCCATGGGGGAGATAAAATTTTCTCTCTCAAGTTGTTTATGAGAAGTCACCATGGATATTTCTGCTCCCTCAGAAAGGGCAAAAGCCTTGAAGCTCACCCGCCCTCTTCCCCATCAAACACTCAACACCTACCACATGCCGGCAGCTGGCCTGAACCCTTGGAGAGATCCTTTTTGTCCATCAGACAGTGAGCTAAATGTTATAATAAATCTTGCTTTCTTCTTCCCAGGGCAGAGAGAACCCTGCCTCTTCAGAGCTTTTGATTTGGCCACAGGTACACCATCCCCACTCCCAACCTTGTCCCTATCCAGCACAGAATCACTAGAATTGGTTTGTCCAGTTACCAATCTTTAGGGAGGTAAGCAGGGGTCAGGGACTCAATGGACATTTGCTTTTTTGCCCATGGGTCTGACAACTAGAGCCACAGCAAATATTAGGATGTGGAAAAGCCTCTGGGTGAGAAGGCTCTGTCAAAAGAAAACTAGGAGCGCCCCCTGCTGGCAAGTGCTTAGTAGGAGCCTGTCAGTCCCCCAACCTCCTTACCCCGCACCCCCTCCTCAGGAGGATGCTTATAAGCAAATAGCAATGTTCTAGGTAAATTTGGATGTCAAGAGATTATACCGCTCTCAAAGGCACCAGAAAGAAAAATATTTCTCAGGCAATACCAGGCAAGGAAGAACAAAGACCCAGGAAGACTCAAGCTATATTCCTTGGGTCTTAAAGCTATTTTCAATGATCTGACAGCCAATTAGTGTAAGATCATGATGTTGCTTACCTCCAAGGGTGGCAGAAAGTAAGAAATGAGTGCCGTACTTTTTTATCAGGTTTTCAGTAACCTGTTGTAAGTTGGGTCTCCTTCCGAGGAGGCGGATGTTCCGGATAAATTCTGGGGCAAGAGGCAATGGCAAACTGAAGAAGTCCCTCCTTTCCAGAGCCAAGTTGTTTACTTTCCAACGGGCAAACTCCCTGGAGGAAAAGTCAAGGGATGAAGAAAAGCTCAATGTATTTAAGAACAAGAACCATAACATCTGAAAGAGGTCATGTTCTTCCTCCATTTGTACCCTCCTCACTCCCCTCAGCACACATCCCTCCACATGGAGGCACCCACTGCCTGCAAGAGGCCGTTTGGCCTTCCACCCAGCTTCCCATTCCCAGGCTGTCAACTGACTTCCATCAGAACCTATTCCCATCTGCTTTCTCACTGGAGTCTCTGATTTGCTTACTCATATGCAGGTAGTCATGTAGTAGTGTAGTACGGGAAAACAATTATGCAAACAGTGAAAACATGAGAACAATGGATTGCAGAGATATGATTTAGTCACAGTTGCCACTCAATGGATGAGTCGCATCACCTATCATGGCCTCAGTTACCCATTTGAAAATGAGGAGTATGGTCTACAACAGTGGTTCTCAAACTTTTGACCCGTTCACACTCTTAACACATGAAGGAGTCCCCCATATTTATGCGGCTTATCTCTATTGATAATTACCACTTTAAAAATTAAAACAGAAAATTTTTTTATTAGTTCACTTAAAGATAACAGCAGTGAATCTATTACATATAACATCATCAATGACATATTTTTATTACCATAACCATATGTTCTGAAACAAAGCCAATTTAGCAAGAAGAGTGGTATTACTTTGCATTTTTGCAAGTGTCTTTAATATTTGGCTTACCAGAAGAAGGCTACTTTCTCATATTTGCTTCTGCATGTATTCTTACGTAGTCTTTGTGGATATTCACTAAATGCAACAAATGTCGTTCCTTAAAGGTTACAGAGTGGAATCTGAAACCACATCCAACGCACTTTTTATACTCTATTACATTAAAATCCAGTGTTCTATATTGTATTTTGAATGGATCTTTTTATCCTTTGTGATTTTGACACATCACGCATTGGTCATCCAAAAAGTATGGGATCACTGAATTATTCAGGTCTTCCACATTGTGATACTTCATTATATAATGTCAAAACACCGTATTTGTTAATATCACAAATCCCATGCATAAAGTTGCTAAGTACTAGAACTGCTACCAAGCTCATAATGACAAATATAAGTTTTCCAAAATTCTAATTTTCATTTGAAAGCTTATATTTTATCATTGGCAACAGATACTGTTAGCTGTTTTCCTTGAAGAGGTAGGCTTACTTTATCCCCGCCCCCTTTATTTTTTGAGAAAATGTTTGCCAGACACTAAAGTGTCTAAATAACCACAGTTTATCTGTTGGCTGTTCTTTGAAGAAAAATTCAGTTCCAATGAAAACGCGACTAGTTCAGCTTACAATTCAATCACAAAAGCATCTTTCCCTGAGACAATCATCATTCTTCAGTAGCCTTAGACTCATTTTATGTTTACTTTATATTTCATCATACAAAATATTAAAAAGATGTGTAGGGGTGCCTGGCTGGCTCAGTTGGTAGAGCATGCAACTCTTCATCTCTAGGTCATGAGTTCAAGGCTCACACTGGGCATGGAGCCTATTTTAAAAAAAGGTGTATACTTAAGAGTCAAGATCTAATAAAATTAATAAATTTAACTGCTTCAAGGACGTTCTTATGTGAATCTAGCATAAAAACAAGCATGTGTGTGTGTGTGTGCTTAGGTGCAAGTATGTAATGATGGAGATGACTGGTGTGATTTGGTGAGACTGCCTTTATTCAAACACAGATGCCAGTAGTTTTATTCACCACAGTTTTTGTGCCATCAGTGCAGATGTCAATATGGACGCCCTGAAAAGACCTAAGAGAACCCATCTTTTGAGAAGCCCTATTCTATAAGATGGCAAAATTCCAAATTCCTTTCTAGTCCCATCTATATCTTTAATCTTCATACTTTGATCCTCACTGAAAGGGACACATTTCCAAGGGGAATCTGTCCTGGGATGAAATTGAAAGGATCACATCCATTAGTGAGAAAGTACTTTTCCATAGCCTTTCAAATTATACTCTTAAGGACCAGCTCCATTGCCTTAGGAAACAACAAAATTCAAGGTCTTCTCAACCTTCTCACCTATCCCCACTCTGCTCTTTATGACAGTGCTGAAGTTTGATCTAACTTTCTCCCCAAATCCATGGACTACAAATGACAGGGCTGCAGAAAAATAAAAAGAGCTCCAAAATAATAAAAATCCATGCCCAATTTAAACCTATAGAATTCTCCCATCTAACTATAGAGACTGAGACAGAGAGGAGGGGCATGTGCCAAATATTACCAGGGAAACAAAAGAAAAGAGACGACTAATAATTCAAGGTTCCAGCAAAGTCTTTTAAAATTCCCATTGTGTGGCTTTATTTATCTAAGAAGGCAAGTTCATAATAATATATTAGCATTTATTTCCTTTGTTCAGGAAATGCTAGACTTTAATTAAAGTACGGGATATCTGTCGAAGTGTTTTCTATACCAAACCCCACTGCAGCATGATGAGCAATCACTTGATCTCATGTCTAACTGGCCAAATGGCCAATCAAGACAGAGTGACTTCATAGGTTAAAAAAACAACAGCAACAACTATATGCTGCCTATAAGAGACTCACTTCAGCATTAAGGACACCTATACTGAAAGTGAAGGATGGAAAAAGATACTCCATGCAAATGGAAACCCAAAAGAAGCCTGGGGTAGTTATATTTATATCAGATAGAGTAGACCTTAAGCCAGATTGTAACAAGAGACATAGAAGGGCATTATATAATGACAAAGGGATCAACTCATCAAAATACAACATTTGTAAATAGTTATGCACCCAACATGAGAACAACTACACATATCAAGCAAACACTAACAGATCTGAAAGGAGAAATAGTTCCAACGATAGGAGGGGACTTCAATACCTCACTTTCAACCATGGATAGACCATCCAGATAGAACATCAACAAGGGAACATCAGCCTTAAAACTGCATATTAGACCAGATGGACATAACAGATATATGTAGAACATTCCATTCAATAGCAGGAGAAAACACATTATTCTCAAGTGCACATGGAACATTCTTCAGAGTAGATCATGTGTTAGGTCACAAAACAAATTTTAATGGATTTAAGAAGACTGAAATTATATCATGCATCATTTTCAACCACAATTGAATGAAACTAGAAAGTACAAGAGGTGTAAAATTCACAAATACATGGAGATTAAACAACATGCTCTTGAATAACCCAACATGTCAAAGGAGAAATAAAAAAGTATCTTGAGGCAAATGAAAATGGAAACACAAATACCAAAATGTATGTGATGCAGCAAAAGTAGTTCTAAGTGGGATGTTTATAGTGATAAATGCCTACACTAAGAAAAAATAAAGATCTTAAATAATAACCAAATTCACACTCCAAGGAACTAGAAAAGAAGAACATACTAAACCCAAAGTTAGTAGAAAGAATAACAAAGATTAGACTGGAAAGGAATAGCATAGAGACTAAAAAGACAATAGCAGAGATCAATGAAAATAAAATCTGCTTTTCAGAAAAGATTTTGAAAAATAGACAAATCATTAGCTAGACTAACCAAGAAAAAAAAAAAGACTCAAATAAATAAAATTGGAATTGAAAGAGGAGACATTACAAATGATACCACCCAAATACAAAGGATCACAAGAGAATTTAATGAACAATTATATACTAATAAATTGGACAATCTATGAGAAATAGATTAATTCCTAGAAACATATAACCTACCAAGACTGAATCATGAATAAACAGAAAAATCTGAACAGACCAACTACTAGAAAGAAGATCGAATCATTAATAAAAAAACTCCCAACAAACAAAAGTCCAGGATCAGATGGCTTCCCTGGTGAATTCTACCAAACATTTAAAGAAAAATTCCTACCAGTGTTTCCTAAACTCTTCCAAAAATGGAAGAGGAGGGAAAACTTCCAAACTCAATTTATGAGGCCAGCATCACCCTGATACCAAAACCAGACAAGGACACTACAAGAAAAGAAAGTTATAGGCCAGTATCCCTGATACACATATATGCAAAAATCTCCAAAAAAACTATTAACAAACTGAATTCAACAGTACATGGAAACAATCATACACCATAATCAAGTGGGATTTATTCCAGGATGAAAGGATGGTTCAACATTTGCAAGTCAGTCAATATGATACATCACACTAGTAAAACTAAGTATAAAAATCATATGATTATCTCAGTAGATGCAAAAAAAAAAAGCATTTGAGAAAATTCAACATCCATTTACGATAAAAACCCTGAACAAAAAATGTGTAGAGGGAACATACTTCAACATAATAAAGACCATATATGACAAACCCACGGCTAACATTAGACTCAATGGTGACAAGCTGAAAGCTTTTTCTCGAAGATCAGAACAAGACAAAGGTGCCCACTTCCGTCACTTTTATTCAACATAATACTGGCAGTCCTAGCCAGTGCAATTAGGCAAGAAAAAGAATTAAAAAGCCTCCAAATCAGAAAGGTAGAAGTAAAACTGTCTGTTTACAGATGACATATCATATATAGAAAACCCTAAAGACTCCACCAAAGAAAACTTAGAATAAACAAATTTAGCAAAGTTTCAAGACACAAAATCAATATATAAAAATAAGTTACATTTCTACAAACTAATAACAAAATATCAGAAAGAGAAATTACAGAAATAATCCCATTTACAGCTGCACCAAAAAGAATGAAATACCTAGGAATAAATTTAATGAAGAGTGCAAGAGGTCTGTCTATACACTGAAAGTTGTATAATACATTGATGAAAGAAATTGAAGACGACACAAATAAATGGAAAGATAGTTCATGGATTGGAAGAATCCATATTGTTAAAATGTCCATTCTATTCAAAGCAATCTACAGACTCATTGCAATCCCTGTAAAATTTCCAATGGCATTTTCCATAAAATAGAAAAAAAGCAATCCTAAAATTTGTATGGAATCACAAAAGACCCCAAATAGCCAAAGAATCTTGAGAAAAAGAACAAAGCTGGAGGCATCACACTTCCTAATTTCAAACTACATTACAAAGCTATAGTATCAAAACATTATGGGCCTAGCCTAAAAACAGACGCATTGATAGTGGAACAGAACAGGAAACCCAGAAACAAAACTCACACATATATGGCCAATTAATTTGTATCTAAAGAGCCAAAAATATACAATGGGGAAAGGACAGTCTCTTCAGTAAATGGTAATGGGAAAACTGAGTAACCACATGCAAAAGAATTAAACTTGACCCCTATCTTCCACCATACACAAAGATGAACTCAAATGAATTAAAGACTTGAACTTAAGCCCTGAAACCATAAAACTCAGAAGAAAGCACAGGCAGTAAGCTCCTTGACTTGGATCATGGTGATGGTATTTTTAATCTGATACCAAACCCAGCTTCCCTGCTTTGTGGTAGGCCACACATAGGCTTCATCAACTAATAAAGAATTTCTATCCTATCAATTAAATTACTAGGAGAAATAAAAAGCAGGCATTCTTCCATTTTTCATAATTTCTTACAATGGTCTAAACCTTCACCAAAAGGAAAGGTCACCTTACCATAGAGGTAGCTGCCACTTTAATTAAATTTAATAAATAAAAATTGGTGGTCACATTGCTTGCTTAGTCTCTTTATTCAAGACTGCCAAAGAGTACCTCCTAGAAAAAGCCTTCCCTGACCATCCCATCTCAAAGAGCACCCTCTCTCTCCCAGACTCTGTCCCATGCTCTGCTTTATGTATCTTTTTTAGCACTCACCACTGTCATAATAATTTTTAAATTTTCTTTCTTTCGCAGTAAAACAAACTCTATGAAGGCAAGATTGATTCTTTTGGTCTTATTCAACAGCAATAGAACAATGCTAGTGCTTCTAACAACACAATAATGGATGTTCAGTATATCTTTGTTGAATGATTGGGAGATTCATTTATTCTACTTATTCAAAATAGTCAATTATTTACTGTCATAGCTCTACTAATCCTTTAATTGTTTGCAAATTATTGACAACTAGATAAAAAAAGCTACAAGATGAGATACATAGGAGCAACTACCAATTCATGATTGATCTGAAATGAAAGTAAAGCATCCTAAATGTGTATGCGTATCAATGGGAAAATTAGATTTGATTTATAGAAATATAATTTGCAGGGATGATTTTGTGCATTTTTAATATGTAAGTCAAGGCACTGATGGTATTTTCTTATGCTTTGGTAAACTGAGTCTGGGCCCTCTTCCAGTGGACATGGACAACTTCCAAACCCAGAGGTACATTCTGAACCCATGGTCAACACTCTGAAGTCCAGTGAGTATGGAGCCCCCATCCAGACTCTGGCTGTGGTTTATATCTAATGTTAATGATCAGCAGCCCCACCCCCCTACAATGGGTATAACAATTTCTGCCACACTCCTAAGGTTCAAGGTCACCAAAAGAAGCAACAATCTTGGAGTTAGGCACTTTTCCTTAGTCTTCATCTTCTTTTGTCCAACATCAGACTGGGGACAATATATATTTTACCCAAACCAGAAAGAGTTTTGAGCACATCTTACTTAAATGAACCAAGCTGTGGAAGCTCAGAAAATTAATTTGCCTGATGTCACTCAACTATCAAGAGGGAAACTTGGGCTATTAGAATTAAAAGGAACATTTTAGTCCTATTTGCCAATCTTTTTCATATTATTGTGTACATTGAAAATTCTCCGTGGGATGCACTGGGATCAGACAAGAGGAAATAAGCAAAACATGCTGCCCAGATTTTGCCCAGTTGCCCCAAGAGCAGAAGGGTCAACCTATGACCATGCCCATACCTATCCATATCCATTTGCAGTACCACCAGGTGCCAGCAAGCATACCCGTTGAGAAGGTCTATTCCTCTCCTCTTACGTTATGATTGAAAACCGCAAAACAAGAGAGGGAAGCAGTTTGCTTAAAGCAATATAACCAATTTGTACCAGAACCAGAACAAAAAGCTAGTGTCCTGACCCCACCACAGTGCTTTTAACAACCATGATGGTGGTGACAACAGCAACAGCGAGACCCGGAGAGGTTGAGAAAATCATTTGCATGAAGTTACAGAATTAGAAAGTGGCTGAGATTAAAACCCAGGTCAATACCTCACTGCTGTTTCTGTAACGCTATTTTCCCTTGTGTAGACTAAGTGTATTTTATGGTATTCTAATTACTTTTAAATGTTTATTACCTTTCAATGAAAATTATTTCATCACCTGGGACATTTCATTCCTTTGGTTCTCTATATAAACATGAATTGACTGTACATCCAAAATACATACAGCAAAGCAAAACCTTTTTGGATGAAGGTGGCTTCAGCACACCCATTTGCAGAAGGAGAAATTGAGACCTAGTTAAAATCAAGTCCATATACAGAGTACCATGGGAGAAATCAAAGATAAAGGCCTGATTCCAACTCCTATGGCTTCTCAGGAAATCATAACACAGAATAACAAATGACTTAGAAAAAGTGAATGATACTGTCTTAGGAAGCATTTTATGAGCAAATAATAAAAAATAATGGTTAACATTTAATGAATTCTTAGTATGTGCCAAGCATTCCAAGCATCTTACAAGCATTAACCAATACAATATTCAAAACACCCCTACAAGGGGGAAAATATTATTATCCTCATTTTATGGGTGAGGAAATTGAGGCACAAATTAATTTGCCCACTGGGGAACACCCAGTAGGTGGCAGAGTCAGGGTTTAAATAGAAGATATCTAGCTTGTAGTCCACAGTTTTTAGCACCATGCTAGTCTACCGACCCTGTGAGACCCAAAAGAACCACCACGATTTTGTGCAGGTATCAGCCCAGAATTAGGCATAGGCCTCAGCTGCTGGCAAGAAGGTTCAGGCTCGGAGGGTGCCTGGTGGTTTTCTCTTCTACTTCACTAAGTTTCTTCCCTGCCCTTTGGGGGCCCTTCATTGAATCAAAATAATGGGGGAAACATCTGTGAAAGAAGTTTGAGCCAGAAAGTGGTAAAAATGTACTTACAGAACTTATTAACCTGGTTGTTTCCAGCATCTGAAAACCTCAGAAGGCAATACTGGAAGGCAGCCTGAGCTATTCAGAGAATAAATGTTCATTTCCGATTTCTCGTTTAGCAGTTTTTTTCCAGTAATAAAATAATCAAGGCTCTTTTTTTTCCCTAGGAAAAGGATGTTTTCTATATATCAATTATATTAACACACTACTTCAATTAAGCCATCATCTTTGTTTCAATTAAGACATCAAGTAAATCTCCATTTCAATTTAGCCATTTCTCTTAAAATCTTCCCCCACTGTGTTTGTCAGGCAGTAAACAGTCTGAGAGAGCAAACGTCTCCAACAGTGGTGAAGCCCCTGTGGAAAGTGCCTTTAGAACAGCAGAGACCACTAAAGGGCTCCCCGGTTAAAGCAAAGGGCAACCAGAACACTCCAACGTGGACTCCACCTGCAAAGCTGTTCAAGTGGTACCCGGAAAGGGTGCTCCAATAGGCTGCTATAAGTAAGAAGTTGATTCCATTTTCCACCATATTTTAGATTAGCCCAGAGTGAACAACATACATTTTTGCCAAAGGGTTAACATGCCCCTAAAGTTATTAATAACAACCAAAACAGAATTTAGGAAAGGTATAATCCAGACCGGAGGCTAAAACCCAGTGTGTTATAGCATTTGTACACACCAACACAGAGAATATGGTAGGCAAAATCCAAAATCTCTCTATATATTCTGAAACGATGGTAGCTTTCTGTGTCCCACACTGCTCAACCCTAATGGTCCAGATCGCCCACAAATGACGTTTCTAGTTGTCCATGAACTTAGGGATTTTCCCAGAACCTAAAGGGCCTGTAATAAGAAAGCAGAATCACAGCCATGCCAAGCTCGGGCAACAGTAGCTTCTGCAGGACTTTGGGACTGGACCAGCTCTGGGTTTGAAGCAAAAGGGGCTCTGATGAGACTACTAACTGGCTACAAGGTGTTCCTAATTTGAAAGTTGTAAGTAAAGAATGTCTCCAAGTCACAGCCTCTAAGTCTAATGTCACCCACCACGCTATGGCACTGCGTTCTTCCAAGTAATACAAGGTCAACGAGAACTCTGGCAGCACGTGTGCCCCCCTGCAAGACCCCAGGCTCCTGGCTCTGAAAGACTTGGAAAGAGCACAGCTGGGGATCTTCCATCCCGGTGCTGTTTCCAGCAGCTCGGTGCGGAAGCACCACCTTTCTGGCTTGTAAACTGAGAATACTGATCCAGCCCCCGTGAAGAGACATTACCTAAGAAACCTCCCTTCCTTATGAAACCTTCAAGGAGAGAGTATTTTACAAGGAAGTCCACAGTCTAAAAATAAAAACACAACTATACCGCAATGAGGCTGAAATCTAGTAATCATGAACACTGCAACCTACCACACAGGTACTTGTGCCGAGACCTTGGGCTAATAGTGAATTAATAGTTACCAGTTTTCCAATAGACCTATCTTTCCATTTCTGTGTGGAAAGCATGTTCAGGCACCTTTCCAAGGCCACCACTATGGCTGTCATTTGGAAAGTCTCATTTCCTGTACCCTGAATATGCAGCTCTACCCACCCCCTCTGGGGTGGCCCCCTTGCAGGCTTGGCACAACCCCGTCCCAGCATCAGTATGTCCTTGAGTATTAGGAGCCCATTTGTTCCTCCTGAGTTAGACCCCAGGTTGTGTTTACTGGGGAGACAATCAATGCCGTTTCCAGCAGAGCTAACCAATCGTCACCTGCTCACTCAGGCGGCAGTTCTCAGAATAGGCACTGGGACTCCCAGAGAGGTTGGGGAGAAGTCTTATGCCAGCTGTGGAGCCCAGGATGCCCACCTCCAAGCACCAGTTTTAAAACAATGGCAGAAAGAGTAGGCTGTCATGATAGGAAATACTGTCCTTCTCTCTTCTTTGGCCTTCCTGATCTATTTCCAATAACCTCTTTTGGGGGGCCACCCTCCTCCAACCTTCAGTGTTCAAAGGGACTGCCAAATGCTGAAGGGACTGAGTTCTCATTCTCCAAAAGGTGGTTTTTGGTAGGAACCATACTTGGAAGAAAAACAAAATATGACTGGTTTTCCTTGAAAAATGAAGGGAGACCCAGGACAGGTCATTGAATTAAATATTTAAGAATTTTGGAGCAAAAAAAAAAAAAAAAAAAAAAAAAAAAGATGAATTGGCCTTAGCTAAAGACACAAATAGTTTTCTTTCCATTTTTCCTGTGACTTTACTTTGTCTATGTGAACTGTCAACCAATGACCATGGGAAAATTTCTCACATACCAACCGGTTCTGGATAAATGCAAACGTCTTTGTTCTCAGAGCTCACCTTTCTCTTGGAGAGTTGCCTTTCCCCAGCTAGCTTGAGACTTGCCAATTTGACACAGGAATTTCAATAAACACCACAGAGGATTGCACTGCTTATTTTCCTGAAGAGTCCCAGATCACAAAGAAGCCTTTTTTTTTTTTTTTTCATCCTTCTGCCAATATACCTCACATCCAGGGCTACTGCTCCCACCACAGGACTCGGGCCACCATTGAGTTATTTACCTCAGTGAGATACCTAAGATGGTTTCACATTCTTTAGCTGGACAATTTTAGGGACTGAGGGATATATCATGTTTTGGCTCCTGTACAGAGGCAGTATTTCTAGACACATCACATCATCAGGAGATTTCTATCTCAACAACAGATTACTGTAATGTACTTAGCTATTAGAGCCTTTACTGCTATAATGAATAAGACATGATTAATCTGAGCTATAAAAAGAAATTATAATAAAAACCATAATCTCTTACATTGGTGTAAGCTTTCCTTTCCTTTTTAAAAATGTTTGTACACAATTTTCACACAAGCTCAACTATTTTATCTATACAAGAACCTCGGGGAAAAGGAAGCAGAAATATCATTACTCAACTATTAACCTTTTATAGGTTAAAAATGAAGAGACAAAGAAACTGAAAAAAGTGACCCAAGTCTCCTTTTATCAGTGGTAGAGTTTGACAAGAACCAGACCACCTCATGAATGATTTTCTGCCTTTGGCTATGACCTGTGCTCAAGTTCAGGGATCCCGGTACGCCTCTATCATACTTCCCAGGAAATCCTTTGGCCTTGTTAACCAGGGAGAAATTCCAAGACAGGAAGGCTTCAGTCCAGGATCCCGCTGGTTAAATAATACCTCAGTCCATGCAACCCTAGGAGGCACCAGAGCAGAGATGGGGCCCGCCCTCCCCCAATGCCCCTGTGCCCCTGTCCTTCCCACTATCTGGTAGAATTCAAGAAGCCTAGCATGTAGGTAATTTAGCAGCCTGCTGTGTTCTCAAACAACGGCCCGTAAACAATGATTGGCCAATTTCATTCTAATCTTCCCAATTTTGCTCTAATTAAAATCAAGCTGTAGCTTTCAAACAGTTTAATTAAGGCTGATTGGGAAAAATGGGGAGGGGAGACTCAAGCTTAGAGGAGGAGGACTGGGTCACTGCTTGGCGAATCTCACAGTGTCCATTTGGGACTTGGGGGATTGAAGAGGGCACTGAGGGCAGTGTGTTTGTAGAATCAATGTGAAATACAACACACTCATTGGAATGAAGGGCCAGTGAATCTGTGAGACCAGAATCAACTGAAAGGGGAGCTAAGATCTGTGTTTTCCCACTCAGAAACCTCAGCTCTGTTCTGACCTCCCAACCTGCTCCCCACAGCTCATCTGTTCGACTGTGGATAAAATGGCTCTGCTCACTACTCTTTGCCTCCCGTCGTGCGTGTCTTTGCTCAGCAAGCTAACAGCCCGTGCCATGCTTCTCCCCAGCAAATGTCCATGGGCTTCCCATTATCTACTTAACTCTAAGAGAATTCCCCCAGACTGGCAGCTCCTTCCACTGTTCTACAAGTTTATTCCTTTTGCAATGAGATAGCCCTTCTGGAATTTGGGTGTATTTACTTCTTATGTGAACTGATCTTTGGACTAAGTATTTTTTGTTCCTTCAATAGCTTCTAGATTCCTAGGCTCTTATGCTAAAACTTCTCTGCATGCAATCTAGCTTGTTAATGTGTTTCTTTTTAAAGATGGCAACCAAAATTAAACACAATTCAGTAGCTGTGTTCTGAGCCATGGAGAGTATAGGATACAATTTCTGAATACATCATTATCATCATTGTAACTATCATCATTGTGTCTATCTACTGAACCCTTATGTTACCAGTCATGGTAGTGGATGCTTTACATAGTTTTAAATCATCACCACCACCTTATAAATATCAGTGTGGCAGATTGAATCTTCATTCTCACCTATTGTAGAATGCCCTTTGATATGTGACTTCACAGTACCCATCACTCATACAGATGGACCTCATTTCCCTTCCCCATTGACACTGGACTTGGCTATGTGGCTTCACTCTGGACAAACAGATATGGACAGAAGTGACCAGGCACCAACACTGGGCCAAGACCTAAAAAGGCATTGCATATTTTTTTCTGGCCGGCCGGCCTGCCCTGGCCATGAGCACTGCTTCCCCCACTTAGTGGCAAGTGCTTCTCTTTCAACCTGAGACCCGTGATAAACATCATTGGAGAAAACACCACATGGCCCCCTTGCAGACCTGTAGCCTGAAGCATACTAATTCAGTCAACCTCCAGATACATGAGCGAGAAAAATGATATTGTTTGAAGCTGAATATGGGGGTTATGTTTAAGTCCATAATTATGGCAGTAGTTAACTGATACACTGATATACACCACAACTTTAGTCCTATTTTATAGCTGAGCTAGCTGAGGCTTAGATAATTTAAGTATCCTAGTCAAGGACACAGAGCTAACCAAAAGAGTGAAGATAGTCTATGATCTTTCGTGTGTGTGTGTGTGTGTGTGTGTGTGTGTGTGTGTGTATGTAAAGGAAATATATTTCCTTTGTTAACACACCTGAATATTTCATTCCTTTTTTGTTTTAGTAGTTGTATACTAAATTCATTTAAATTTTTGTTATTTTTTTATTGAAATATAGTTGGCACATTTGCATTCCTTTAAAAAATTTTTTTAATATTTATTTTTGAGAGACAGCATGAGCATGGGAGGGGCAGAAAGAGAGGGAGACACAGAATCCAAAGAAGGCTCCAGGCTCTGAGCTGTCAGCACAGAGCCTGACACAGGGCTTGAACTCACAAACCATGAGATCATGACCTGAGCCAAAGTCGGACCCTTAACTGACTGAGCCAATCAGGTGTCCCGCATTCCTTTTTTTGAAGAAAGTATTCTTGGCTAAACAGTAATCTTATGGCCAACCAGAACCCCACGTTTTTTCCAACCCGATTTGTTTTTGTTTCTGTCTTAACTGCTGAGCCAAGCCACCTATATCTTACATTTGTGAACTTGACATTTTGAACTTAAATCTTGGGCTTTGCACTTCACCACCTTATTGCATTCCATCCCTCATGGCAGACTGGAAAGTGTTCTCTAAGCTATTTCTACTTTCTCCTTGGGTTCACAGATACACAAATTTCCCCAGCTTCCTCTGCATTTAAATGTAGTCATGTGAATGGGTTCGGGCCAGTGGAATGTGAACCCAGGCCCAACTCATTAGACCTTTCTCTCTTTCCTTGTTTACCAGGACCCAGAGGAGGACACTGAGACCCTAGATGATGACAGAGTGACTACATGGACAGAGTCTTAATCTTGAATGATTTCATGAAGCACTCTCCTTTTAACCATCTCATAAATTGCACTGGACTTGAGCAATGAATAAATGAATAAATAATTAAATAAATCTCACTGAGATTTGGGGACTGTTTATTCCAGCAGTTAACCCACTCTAATACCTTGATCATGCTGATCCCCTATTCCAGCCTGGCAAAAGAATCTTCACTCTTGATTTTATTGCCAGTCTTGATAAGGGTCTCTTTCAATTACCTGATTTTATTGTCTATGTGGTCAAGCATCCATGCTTCCATTTCTCCTCAGCTCAGTAACATTCCCATATGGATCTCTCTTTTTCTTGTTTTCTGAGTCTATATGAAAATGGTGTTAGTTCTGAGCCCTTGACTTTTATGCTGTAGGATCATAGTGTGTGAGTCCTGCTCTAAGGGAAAAGTACCTGTCACTGTGAAAGATTTACTTTGAACTATCTATAACTATAAAATCAATGAATAGATTAATTCAGGCTATAGTTAGGGAGAAAAAAAAATGTGGGTTTTAAGTGATAAATTTGATTAATGTATGGAAACTCAGTAAAAAGAATTTGATAAAGACTGCCCCTCCTTTCTTTCCTCTTTCTCAATTAAACTCTCTACATTTTCTCTTTTTCCCTCTTCTCAAGATTCCCCATTCTATTGTTTTCCATATTTACTCTCAGGAGACCCCTCACAAAGAATAATGCACTTACCTTGAAATAAACCAAACTGTGCTTTTAGTTATCACCAAATAGTCCTGATAAAGAAAATCCTATTATTCTACCCATTTTACTGATGAGAAAAAATTAAGCTCGATTAAAGACAACTTGTACAAGTTCACACCAGAAGTAGCAGGACTAGAATTTAAACCTATACAGTATGATTCTAGAGCTGGGAGCCTCAACCACTTGTTTTCTCCTTCCATCTAATTCAGTCCCAGAACATGCTACTCATACTGAGGGGTTTCATTCTCTTATTATATCCTTAACATGTGGCAGACATGGTACCAGGAACCGGAGATAAAAGGATGAAATAAAACATATTCTTTGCCTGAAGGAGGTCAGAGCCAAGAGAAGAGCAAGTAAAGACATATAAGTAAATAAATACACAAAATAAGTTATACAGCAGAAATATGAACCTATCAATGGGGAATCATAAGTAGGAATGACCAACTCTCTTGCAGGAACCAAAGAAGACTTCATAGGGAGTTGACATTTAAGTGGGCTTGAGAGGTGAGTAGGAAGAGAAAGATGGAAGGAGTTTTGTGGGAAGTGGGAATGAGACATGGAAAGACACATGGCATCTGAAGGAGTCTTCTGTATCTGGGAAAATGTGTACCTGTTCAGTGAGACTGGAACAAAGGACAGCAGGAAGAAAGTGTGCAGCACAGTCAGCAGCCCAGGGTCAATGTTCATTGGATATTTGTCAAAAGAGGGAATGTATGGATTTGGAAGGGACTCTCATGCCAAGAAAATGTATTTGGGTTTTATCCTTTGGGCACAGAAAGACCAGCAGAGGACCTCAGACAGATTGGACTGGAGAAGACAGAAAACTACAAGCGGGAAACAGTGAAGCCAGGAGAAGAAAGAGGAAGCTGGCTTTGAAAGACAGCTCTGAGATGGAAGTCACACAACTCAAATGCGGGGAGGGGATGAGGAAGAGGTGGGAGTTACAGTGCCCGGTGGCTGTGACATTCCAGCTGCCATACCAGGAAGCACAGCAAGGAATACAGGAGACATAAGTGTCATAGGAAACATGATGAGTGCAGTTCTCGCTACGATTTTACCACAAACCAAATCTAGGTGCACAAAATCAGATCAAATGGGAGGTAGCTGCAGTTCCTTGAAAAGCTGAGGAAAAAGTTAGGATTTTTTCCCTCTACGTGTAACTTGGATGAAAAAATCTGTATTCTCCGACCATAAGCCCAGCACATATTTCCAACTTTTCTTGAAGTAATGATGCTTCAGTTCCAGAGAAAAGTCACCACATCTTCTGAGGCGTGCCTGCGCCCTAGAACCCCCATCAGTAACCTTCGAAAACTGCCTAGAAAGCAAGAAGTTAAAGAAGTCTGTAGGGAAGAAAATGCCTGATCTGAGAAATTCCAGCATGGTGAACTCATAGTGGTCCATGACAAAAGCCTTGAGTGCTTTGAGAGATGAGCAAGCAAGCAAGCTCTCTGGGAGCCAGAAGTGGAAGAAAATCTTACATCAAAGTAAATTTCTGATCTTTTCCTTATGCAGAAAGATGGAAAGGTGGACTTGGGCAAAAGAAACAAGGATGGTTTGAGAGAAATAACATCGAGAAGGGGAAGGAGAAAGAGAACTTCTGGAGGGAAGTTACACGGTGCTGACAAGTCTAAGAATCAGGAGAATAATCATCTCCAAATATCTAGAGACCTATTGTGAAGAAGAGGCATTTAGACTTATTGTCAAGAAATAAGAAAGCAGAGTCAGGACCAATAAGTGAAATTGTGCAGAGAGAGACTGATTCAGTTCCAGAAAGGTCTTTCTAGAATTTGGGGCTAATGAATGGAAATTGGCTTCAGTGAACACGCAGGACTGGGTGTGCTCAAGCCAAGCCTGGCCGACAACCTCCATGGGGATTTGTAGAGTGGTTGTCTGCAATGGGCAGGAAACAGGTGGTCTCTCTTTTTTTTTTTTTCATTTTTTAGTATCTATTTATTTTTGAGAGAGAGAGACAGAGAGCACAAGTTGGGGAGGGGCAGAGAGAGAGGGAGACACAGAATCCAAAGCAGGCTCTAGGCTCTGAGCTGTCAGCACAGAGCCCGACGCGGGGCTTGAACTCACGGACCGTGAGATCATGACCTGAGCCAAAGTCAGACACTTAACTGACAAAGCCCCTCAGGCACCCCAGGAAACAGGTGATCTTAACATTTCCTTCTAAGTCACATATTCAAATATCACTGGGTACCAGTCTGCCACCCCATGCCCTCAGGCCTCTTTCAGACACTGCCTTTTCAGCTTGGGCCTTGTGTCCCAGGCCAGCCACTAAATCTGTGGTTCCTAGATTTAGTCTCCTGACCCACAGGCATCAACATGGACACTGCCCTACTTAGTGGTAACAGAAGGCAAAACATGTACTATCAGCCTCGACAGCCACGTCTCTTCTATTGATTTGAGCATGAGTTTCCAGATGACAGAGGCTGACATTCATGGACTAGCACAGTCCCCCCTCCTCTCCATCTTTACCAGACACACAGCTTAGAACATATACAGAACCAGCCGGGCAAAGGCTGGCTTACTGTGCTACAGTTTACCCCGTTACTAGTAAACCAACTATGCAGCCCATGTTGAGGGATCATTACATGAGGGTGTTTACATGCTTCTGTGGATCCAGGAGAACTCACTCCCCAAAGAGTCTTCCTTCCTGTCCCTCCTCCGTCACTAGCAGGTCCCCAGGTAAAGCACAGGCTCTCCTGGCACACCAGGACAATGAGAACTCTCCCAGGCACAGGGGCTGATAATGAAGGGCGGTCCAGCGCTGGTCCTGGCTACCTCATTTTTCTCCAACCAGGGCCTCCTGCCTGGCCAGTGAGACTTTTTGTTCACTCTGGCTCACTGTGACATCCAGAGCTTGTTCGTTCTTTGCAGCAAGAGGGAGAAAGAGGCGCATTTCTAGGCTCAGGGAGGATCCTGTTACGGTGGCAGAAGCAGGGAGCATTAAACAGGTGCAGAGGTGGAAAAACATCAGGCAGAGGGAGCTGTGCCAGACCCTTCCATCTTCCTCGAACCACGCCCCATGTGGAACAGCCCTCATCTGCCCACAGCTACCCCTGTAAATCCCAAAACTGCCTTGGGAGCCCCAGCCTCCAGGTCTCTTTCTTTTCCATCTTTGGTGTACTGTGGATGCACACCAAAGGATATGCCACTAGTGTCATTGTAAGGAACTCCAAATTTACAAAGTATCCTAATAAGCAGAGCTTATTTGCATCACCAGAGTTTTTTTCTGGCTTTATGAAAATATCCCTTGAAATGTAAGACATTTCCTGGGGCGCCTGGGTGGCGCAGTCGGTTAAGCGTCCGACTTCGGCCAGGTCACGATCTCGCGGTCCGTGAGTTCGAGCCCCGCGTCGGGCTCTGGGCTGATGGCTCGGAGCCTGGAGCCTGTTTCCGATTCTGTGTCTCCCTCTCTCTCTGACCCTCCCCCGTTCATGCTCTGTCTCTCTGTCCCAAAAATAAATAAACGTTGAAAAAAAAAATTAAAAAAAAAAAAAAAGAAATGTAAGACATTTCCTAGTGGATACATGTGTTTATAAATCAGTAGCCACCTGGTCCTCAAGTCAGGAGCTATAGATTTACTTAACACTGGATTTTTATAAGCCATTGCCAGGCAAAAAAACATAAGATGCTGCATTTTGGAATGGCATTAAGTGTCCCTCCAGTAGAGGATTAGATTTACAGAAATTTAATTTACACTGCAACCTTATAGAAATATGCCAGCAGTGGAGAGCCTACACATACAGAATTTGCTGTGGGTGAACTGTTTCAGGAAGATTCATCGGCAGCTTCCTCTCACTGAGGGTTCCCCAGAGCCCAGGCGCAGATGGAGAACTCTGGTGGAAAGAGGACTACAGGATCTCTGAGTGAGATGGCCCCACTGAGCCCCCTGAGGCCCATCTTCTGAGTCCCAAAGATCTGCCAGAATATGCCACATGGAATGGCAGGAGGGGCAGAGAGCACAGGTGGCTACAACTGGGGGTACCATTTCTCTGGGAGCATTAAGAATCCCAGGCTCAGGGGAGGAGTCAACATGGTGGAGAAGTAGGGTACCCGAAGTTCCCTTGTCCCCCAAACACAGCAGTGTTGAGGCCAGAAGACTTGGAAGTCCAGGAATATGGACTACAGGGTGACAGAAACATCTCCAGGCATCCACAGGAACAACTTGGACGGCCATAGGCGCATGATTGAGAACTGGGAGAGATAAAACAGGTGGCGAAGGCATGGAAGGGAGGGATCCTCTTCTGTGGGGAGACCAAAAGAAAAGAAAGAGAGGCTGTGGAAGTGTAGGGATTGTATTTGGACAAATGTAGCAATTGTATTTGGACCAGGGAATGGAAAAAAATGAAGAACCAATTTCTAACCTGTTCTAGGGTTGCAAGGCTTTCTCTGTACTGGGGCCACCCTGTTTCCATGCCTGGGAAGGAGGGGAGCCAACCCCAGGCTCAGCAGCAAGCTCAGAAATGCAGTCAGAAAGAGCAATCTCCTCCCTTGAGTGCTGTGGGAAGAAGGTAGATAGCCTTCAAGACAAAAGACCCTGCAGGACTCTGCCAGCCAGAGGCCCTTTGTCAGCTTGCTGGGCAGAGTGGCACTTCATTGGAAATGGGGTGGGGGGAGGGGGTGCAGAGCAGGAGTGGTGGGGTTTGAATCCCAGCCTAGTGCCTGGGAAGTACTGGAGACTGTGGAGCTGGAAAAACCAGCCTGCTTGTGCCTGCACAGCACTGTGAGGATGGCCTGAACAGAGTGATCTGGGACACTCAGTCTGGGGAGGAGAGACTGGGGTGTTGCCATTTTTCTCCCCATCACCAACAAGGTGGTGCTTCAGGGAACCAACAACAGGCCC